GAGAAAAAAATGAATTTGAATGATTGTAGTATCAGGCTGCAACATAACAAAATTAAAAAAAGTGAAGGGGTTCTGAATACTTTCCGAATGCACTGTATATTTGGGATTTCTCAGTGGTATTTCATATCATCAGTTGTGACTTTTGGATCACCTGTGAGAGTCAGGAGTTGGGAGCAGTGTCTTGCAGGGGTTCTGCACCTTCTTGAGTGGCTCCTCCTTCTCTTCCTTATTCTTTAACATTTACATGAAGCTGCTGGGAGAGCTTATCCATTGTTTGAAGGTGTAGTTACCACCAATATGCTAATGATATCCAGTTATACAGCTGGTAATTGGAAACTACCTCTAAGGGAAGCTTGGAGTCGATTGTTCTGTCCATATTATATCCTGGAGAGGGAGATTAAAGCTGCCTATTGGAAGCTATGCAGATATGCATTTTCTACAAGGGGCACCTATCTAGCAATTACAGAGTTATGAGCAGGTGCATAAAGGCACTTGACAGGGATAGGAAACAATTCAGTGACAACTGTAGGAAGCAGGATGAATAATCCCCTCCCATGGACGATCTTCTACTTACACTTCTTACTTCAATCTGTTATGTATAACTCAGAAAGAAATTACTGTAGATACAAAAGATAAGGACTGAATTTAGTATGTGTCATTTACATCTAAGTAAAAAAAAAACATTAAGTATTCTATGTCTATTTAATAATAGAAATTAAGCAACTACAATACAGTGCCCCATAGAAAATCAGTCAAGTTTAAAATACATTTCAGATAGAAGTATACTTCTTTGTTTCACTGCTTTATGTATTTCTCAAAACTTGCTCAGAAATACACAGATTTAGTTATTTAAGGTGCGTGGACACATAATCCACATTGTTTAAATATTTGGTGCATGTAGAAACAAGTCTCATCATCCTTCTGGAAGTGTTAAAGATTATATGCATGTTTAAGACTAGTAGCAAACCCCTATTTACATGGTAACACTGATACCTAATCTATAGGTAGCTGAATGGGTGTTTTCTATTTATTGAAAATGAATAAGACCGTTGAAAGCATCTAAATTTCCTGTCTTTGCAGGCAAGAGGAGCAGACATCCCTGAGATTTCTGGAGAGTTACCTTTGCGGACCTGTGGCAGCACAGCTAGCATGAAAGTGAAGAATGTGAAAAAGTAAGATTTTTTTTTTCATCCTTGCAACTTCAGTGACACTCTCCATATTCTTGAATGTTGACTCCAAGATGCTGATTGACTTGTTATTGGTGAACACATGGAATAAATAAATTAACCCCTGTTGCACAAAGGCAACAGGAAATATCCTTACGTAAACGGAAAGCCTGCCCACGTTTTTTGTCTCCTTCCCCCTACCCTTTTAACCCCTGGAAGCCAAGACAGGCCAATAGATGATTCACAGAAATCCTTTGCTGCTTTATTTTTCCAAACCTCCTTCTATTACAACAGTGGAGATCTCTGACATTAAAACTGCTGATGTCTAAATAGATTAAGGGGTTGGGAGGGAACTGTGGAATTTTATGCTACATCCCAACTGCCAAAGTAACTAACATTAACAGATCTCTATATCAACCACTGTTTAAAGCTGCTTGTCTGCTTTCATGTTCTGTGTCCTCAGTCTTTGGTGCAATGACTTCCACAGGTAAAGCATTATCTTAACTGCAGTCTTGTCATTAGTATGAACCAACTCCACCTCATTGCTTTTGATTCTGATTGCAGATCCTCATATTTAAAATCAGACATCATGACAAGCTTTAGATAAGCTTCCTTAGGTTTATGTTTTCTCTTGATGGCCAGCTAAATCAAAGTATAAACTTTTTATACATGAGAAGAAAATGTGCCTCCAACTTTCCATTAGATGGAAAGTATGGTGAAATGTGTACCTTAGCTATTAGAAATTTGAGACTTTTTTGAACTGAGCTTCACTTCCTTTCCTCGTCTGTTTCAATTCAATCTGTTAGTAGGGTGGACTTGTATTTGATCCATCTTTGGTTCTGATAGAACTTTGAGATTCAGAAGACTGTCCAGGAATGGATTTGTTCAGAACTCTCATCAATCATATGCTGATTCTGCTAGAAAAGCTGATGACCCTGTTTTCTAGTGGGGAAAGACCAGGTGCTAAATCTAATTTTTCTCTTAAAGTCCTAAGGGAAGAATGAATGATGATCTTACACTCTTGTTCACAACCAAAAATATTTGCTCCAGCAGACCAAAACAGTTTCTGCACTGCTAAAATACAGCATCAGCAATAACTGCCATTTTATAACCCCAGGTTAAAGCTAGACAAATGATTAAAATACATATTTGGCTCCCAGATCTACCAGTACGGGATTGATGGACTATAATTTCTTTCACAGATAATTCTTTTTATTTGGGCTAGCTGAAGTTTGTTCATATTTCTTGGTTGGTTCTCTGTCCTTCAACATTCTACCTCTCTTGGCACTACCTTGCCCTGCATACTTCCTTTTCAGGTGTTGGCCCTTTTCAGCTGGAATGTATCCTGTCTTTTGCAAGAGCTGACAACAAATAACACTTGATAATTTGCATTCTTCCTAGAATTTTTTTCTTCACTGCTTCTTTGGGTCACTTAGACTATACTTCACGTTCCGTGGGATTTGGGATGATAAGATATTCTGATGTCAATGTCAGGATAACCTTTATTTTATTATGGTGTCAGATCTGATTTTTGCAGTAGTACGCATCTAACTTGTTACTTGTGTTTCAGGTTATCCTTCACCAAAGGCCATTTTCCAAAGATGGCAGAATGTGCACACTTCCACTATGAAAATGTGGACTTTGGCAATATACAGGTGAGAACGTTAAATCAGGTGTCAAGAAGTGTTGGAAGAGCTGCATAACAAGACTGTTTCATGTGTTGTGTTATGAGATGCTTTGTCTGTCCTTAGCATATATTGTCTAACCTCACCTAATGGTCCTTTTATCTTCTGCCTGTGTTGCAATCTTGTGTTTAATTTATAAACTTCCTGCTTCTTTGGAAGTGATTTATGGATCAGCAAGCTCTATTATGCCTGCCCATTGCACCACATACCGTCAGCCCTGTTTTGAATCCTTAATTTTTCTCTATATTTGAATGAACATGATCTTTTTTATTTTCATACTAGTCATTTGGGGACTAATAATGGAATTCTGTCCCAGTGCTTCATAAATAAAATCAGTTCTCTCATTTCTTAAAAAATATGAGTAGACTAAAGGGGATGTATATATACTGAATCATCTCATAACATTAAAATATTTGCATAATAAAACTAGTGTCAGTAATAAAGAGTCAGTTACCAGATTGAAGCAAAATTGATTTAAATGGTTTATATAAAAGACACAATGAATCACAGTCTAAAAGACAACCATAAAAGCAGTCTTGTAAATATTATCTATTAGTTTTTGATTATTCTTTATTTTAAGCTGTTGCTTTAGCTTAAGTTGGTAACAACCTATATATTTGGATAAAAACTTCATTGAAGAGCTGACCATGTTCTGGTAGTACAAATGCCGAGTGTCAGGCAGTCCTGTTATAGTGAACGGGGAAACCCGTATAATTTTTCCTTTCTGCTTGGTATGTTTTAGCGCATGCTTTCTCACACACACATTTTCTTAAAAGCCAGTTTTTCAGGGTTGGGCTATGCCAAAAGCAGCATAGATTTCAGTGGTTCTTGTTGGGTTGCACAGTATACAGAAAATGACAGATTTAATCAGTGGCTACCATGCAAGGCACATGAACCTATCCTATCAAAATAGTTTCTACAGTTGATAGACTTCTGCTGGTAGACAATAAGTGACTATGTTTATGAAAATATCATTAGCCTACCCTATGTAAGTTTTAGGGCAGGGAGTAGTAATTAAAACAATTCCCTGACTTTAAGCAAAAATCACAATCCAGCATTGATTATAAAATAAATGCTAATGTATTTAGCCATTAATTGTGTGTGGGGAAGTAAGTTATTTTACATTTGCTTAGTGGAGTAGAAAATGCAGAATGGTTACAGGCACTGACTGCTGAAATTGTGGATTAATCTGAGAATTAGGCTTTGCCGGAGAGGTGCTGTATGCTACTGCCTTTTCTGCTCAACTCCATCCAGTTTTGTTCCTTTTCTCCTCCCTCCTTCCCCTTCCCCATCTTTAATTTTCTTGTTTCTGCTGGAAGTGAAGGGAAGTGTGGCTCTGTGTGCGAGAATAGTTTGTATGTGAGAGAAAGCTGGATTGATTGTGAAATAAAGTGTTTTTAGAAATTGGGTACTTTATTTTACAGGCAATTAATTTTAATTAGTTATTAATTTCATTGATGTAACTTAAAATTATGTGCTGGCCCTGTTTGCTTTTGGGGTGTGGATTCTGATAAGCATACACAAAGAAATGCACACATGACACGCACATAAATATGTCACATGGACATTAAATTAAGGATGGACTTCCAGAATTGATTTCAGCTGGAGGCAGGTTAACAAAGTTGGGAGGCTGAGCATTGCGCAGGAGTTTTATTTTTGTTTTTATTCTTTCCAACCCAATGAAATATTGGAAAAAGAATACGGAAAGGGAGTTGAGACTCTGTCCATCAGTAGGCCAACTCTCCAAAAGAAAAACTGGCTTAAAAATTGGGCTGGATTAGGCCAGGAGCTACAAAGGGGGAAAAAAATATCCAGAATTTTTTTTTCTCAGTGTGTCTCTGTGGGAGAAGCAGCTGGGAGAAGATTCAGAATGCTGTTCGCTGCTCCATTCTGAGCACCCCACTGCTAATATATGGGTTGGAAAGAATCCCACAAGCCATCCTTCGCATACTTTCTTCCTTGTTTATAATCTTCTGTTACTTTCTAACTCCTTTCTTTCAGAGTAGTTTTCTTTTTGAGAAAATTCAGTAATTACAAAATAAAATTCTGCTAAACTGCAGAACCTTGAAGGTTTCAACAGGACCTTGAAGGTTTTCTAGCTAATCACAAATAAGACAATGTCTATGCCATCTGTACCTTCAGGGCTATGGAATAGTGTTGTATGAATGCCTTCCCTCATTTTTCCACACAGAAAAGATCTCCTTTTAGCAGACTTAAGTGCAGAGAGAGGAGCTTCTTCAATTATTGAGACCCCAAGCAATTTGTGACTTTATAAACATCTTGGTAGCACCTTCAGTCTGAAACTAAACTAGGATGAATCAAGATAAACATTTCCTCCCCCTCTAAGAATATCTGTAATTGCTTTGTCACCACTTTCTTAGTACCTTGACCCCAGAGAGGACATTGGCAACTGGCCAGTATTTCGTTTTGTTCCAGGGAGAACTTTTCTGAAAAGCTGACATTATTTCTCAAAAACCTGCTTACCAAACCAAAATTTCCAGTAATGTGACTGTTGAGTTATGTTGATTTTAATATATCAGTCTAAATACCCTGGCAGAGGTTTAAAATGCTTGCTCACAGAATCATGTTAAATTCAATTTGCAAAAGGATAAAGAGACCAAAGGGCTATAGACTTTCCTTTGCTAGAGCTGCAGAAATCATTTTTGTTCAAGCAGAAGTGGCATTTTTGTACAAGAAGTATCTGGTTGACAGGATTAGTGACTTGCTAATGTATTCATATTCAATTAATTATATTGACTAATCAAATGACCTTGCAGTTTTGCTAATGACAATATTAGCTCTACTAATGAAAAAAAATGTCCAGCTCAAGCAGTTGTTATTTGATCCAGATGCTGAAGTTCAATGGGGGTTGGAGGTTTTGGAGGAATTAAGTGTGATGTCTAAGCCAATAACCCTTTTTTAATAGAAACTGGAAGGAAGTTGATGAAATTCATAATAGTTACATGATTTCTGAAGTATGATCTTCAGGGTTTGCCCTGGCAAATAAGGTGAGGCTTCCTACATAGATAGGAAAGTGATCCCTGAAAAGTAAGATATGGGCTCATCTGCATGTCCTGCTTGAAGACATCCCATTTGCCATTTCTTGAGAACAGAACATTACCCTCAACCTGTTGTTGGTCCACTGTGCAGGCAAACTGTGACTGTAGTTTCTTGCTTTTCTGCAATAGTGTTTTTTAAAATCACTTCTGCTGGTTTTTGTTCCAAGGTAAGCTTGCCCATTGGAAGCTTGGCCACTTCAAGGTAAGCTTGAAGCTACTGCAAGCACACACACACACACACACGCACCCGCTCTGACCACTGGTTTTCAGAGCCATTTGCCATTTAGAAGCAGGAGAGCCAGTGTTCTGTATCAAAAAGCCCTCTTTCTCTCTTTACTTGCCAACCATTAGGGAAGAGAGAATGAGAAGTAGGTTCTGTGGACAGCCTATGAGGAAACTGTGGACAGCTTCAGCGCAGAGCTGCTGATACAAGAGTTCTAGTGTTGCTGGGGTGAAGGTACCCACAAGCTCTTCTGCTGGGACCTATGGGCTGCATTACCACTGGGATGCTGCTTCTACCCCACTTCCATTACTGGAGGGGACAGCAGGGAAAGAGACGCTTCAGTTCCCAATACGTGGGAGGGAGGATTGGGCTTGGACAGACCTGCTTCCCATCCTGTCTCCCTTGCTTCCAGTTTTCTAATTCCATAGATCATTGGCACCAAGGGAGGCATTCCCTGCCTTGCCCCTCTTCTATCTCTCCTTCTAATGCAGACAGAATTGTTGCTGAAGCAGAGTAGGGACTGGAAGGACCATCAGCTCTTGAGTTTTGCTTCCCTCATATTTCATTTCAAGCTTTAATTATCCATAATTAGAAGTTTGGCCCAGAGCTGGTAAAAAGTAATAGCCATGTCTGTACAATGAGATCGGCTAATTAGTTGTCTAAAACGTGTAGTTTGATTTTGTCAGATGTTGTAGACTAAATGGGGTTGGAACCAGTCAGTATGACAATAAGACACACCATGTTGATAATTTATTTGATCAGTGGAGTTAAGCGTTAATTGATATAACATTGCAGAAAAAAGGCATGGCGGTAGCAGTTTTCTTTGACTGGAACATCCAAGAAAAGCATTACTGTAAAATGTGCTAGTAACTGAGTTTAGCTGAGACTTTGTATTGGAAGCATCTGTTCTTTCTTTCACATCCCTTTCATCTTCACAACAATTTTGTATAGGCCGTTAAATTGGCTCAGTGAGTTTTATGGCTGGAGGGGAAGGGGAAGAACTGCCTTCTTCATTATATCACACTAAGGTTGGGGTCAAATAGATTTGTAAAATCTCAGAATAACTACAACAAACACATTTTGTGAGGTGCTCTTGTTTGAGGAAACAATTCCAAGTGGCATGCACACTGATCTAAAAACAAAATCAAATGCTCAAAAATTAGGTAGCAAATAGTTAACAGTAAAATGGATTTTTGTTTTGTTGTAACATGAGGGAAACATGTATTTAACAATATTATGTTGTGTCTGAATTGGGACGCTCTTTCATGGGCCTTTAAAAAAAAAAAAAAAAAATCTGGCTCGTCTCTCTAGCTTCTTAGCAACAAAAGCAGAGTTGTTAGCATTCTCCAGAAAGTTGAGAAAAACTCTTCCCATTCTTTATATATTTCACTTGACCTAATTTCTCTTCATCCTGTAGAGAGAGTAAGATTCTTTAATAAAGAACTTCAGTTGGTTGGGCCTCCAGGTCTCCTGGCACCTAATAAGCAGTCCTCAATTTCACAAATGTAAGAAGAGCTGAGAATTTAAATCACCCCTCTTCTCTGTGTCAAAGGACTGGAGCGTGTGCACTTTTGTAAGAGGTTTCCTATAAAGCAGTAGTGGACAAGGGAAAATAATTTATTTCTAGCATTATATGTGTTACTTTCTCAATGCTGAGGAGATATATGCAAGGATATCCTGTTGAAAGC